TGGCACGATGGGATCTGTTTGTGTTTTTGTATGCTTGGTGTTAGCTTTGAGCAATATTAGAAATTGGTAAGGATACAACTATTTTCATATATTCTGAGATTTAAAATTTTAATTGTAATCTTCCTATGACTGGGTGACTTTGGGAATTCCTTCTGATTCACAACAGGCACAGATTCCCAATAGTAATTATTTCAGAAGCATATACCAGAATATAATCTTGTAAATGATCAACATTTGCAGAGCTGATCATAACTTCAAATCTTTTTTTGTCTTAAATTGGTATAAATATTTATAATTAACTGATTAAACACAGAATATATCATAATTTTCAAAAACCAGAAGGATACTGAGGCAACGTTCACTACATAAATGATCCATGGTCATTTTTTGCTAATAAGTGACCTTTAGAGTGTGATGATCCTCCTAAACCCAGTTTTACTGCTTTCAGTTATTCATGGAAACAGAACCTGGGTATAAAAGAATAAGGAGGAGAAAACAAGAAGGGAGGTACAGGTGAATTTGTGTGTCGACCTAAAAACACAATGATATATTTACCATATAATAACCACATCATTCAATGATTTTGAAAAACGAAGATGAGAAACCTGACGGCTGATATAGTCACTGATTGTGCAGTTAGGACACAAATACAGGCAAAAGAGGTGACAGTCGTGCAGGCAGGTGGATAAATCCAAGAATCTTACTGACTGGGATAAACTAAAAAAAATAAAAATAAAAATCTAACAGAAAAAAGGACATCCTGATTCATGCTCAATATTCCAGCAAAGTTCAGTCAAGTCCTCTGGACGGTTTCTTTTTGGTGAAATGTTTTGTTTTTCATTTGAAAGACAAAGTATTTTGCATGACTTTCAGATTCTGTGCCCATTTGAACTTTGAAGTTTTTCCAGCTCCTCTCCAGTTGGAAGATGACACCGATCTGTTTTGAGTCTGTGACGGTCATGTGATCGGTAGTCACGACCCCTATAATAGTCATATCGACTGTTTCGGTCAAGTGACCACCTTTCCCTTCAAGAGGTTTGGTCAGGTTTCTCTGTTTACCCGTTTCTCCGAGGAGAAATGTTGTATTTTTGTTGTTCATTTTACAGACTAGTCCATCTCTTAGTTGCCCTTTGGTAGCCTGCTTTGGAATGCATCACAGGTTTGTTGTTTGTAGTTAGGAAACCTTTGTGTTTCCAAGAAGCAGGATGGCAGGAGAAACTGAGACGTGCATAGTTGGAAACTGCACAGATAACCAACGTACAAATGTTTCGTTCCGCAGCGAGTTGTAGAGTAATGAGGATGCCTGCAACTTCTGCATATTCTGGGGAACCCCGCTTGTGTAATGGTAGGGGAAAAACTTTAAGCCTAGCAGCATAACAGGCCAACTCTAACTATAGGATTTATCCAAAAAAAAAGTCTTAAGCCCAGTCTTAAAACTGGACAGAAACTGGAAGTTGGTTCCACAATTGAGGAGCGTGATAAGTGAAAGTTCTTCCTCCCATTCTGCTTTTGGAAACTCTAGGAACTGCAAGTAAACCTAAAGTCTGAGAGCAAAGTGCTCTGTTGGGAAAACATGGAACAATAAGATCTGTAATATACTTTGTATGATGGAGCTAGGTTGTTGAGAGCTTTGTAGGTTAGAAGTAAGATTTTGAATTCAATTCTGGATTTGACAGGGAGCCAGTGGAGAAAAGCTAAAACTGGAGAGTTATAATCTCTCCTACTAACTCCAGTTAAGACGGTGGCAGCAGCATTTTGGATCAACTGAAGATTTTTAAGGAAGGTTTTGGACACCCAGACAACTAACCGTTGCAAAAGGCCAGCCTAGATGCAATCGACAAAATATTTTCAACAAAACAACAGGGCCCTGGAGAACCCTGCTGTCTGGCTGGGACTCGTGCTGTGGGGTACGTCAGAGATCCTTGGGGAGTGTGGCAGCTGATGCGTCTCTCAGTTCTGTCTCAGGAGGACGCTGAAGACATTTATATATTTGGATTTATGATAGCAGGGGTTCTGCTCTTTGGCAATGGCGGGGCTCTGTTTTATCAACTTTTGAAGAAGACATCGACAGCAGTTTCGGCCATAGCAAAGCTTCCGAGTCTGTGTGAAGGATTGGTCTGTGCTATGAGTACTCAAAATCAGTTGATTTACAAGCTAAACCGTAAGATGGAGGCTATTTGTGAGAATTGTAGGCCACCAGCGGCTTCTAGGACTCGCCAGCATGTTGGTATCAGCCTTGAGGAAGGCTCATAACATGTATCAGTGGAATGGAATGCCCATAAATCTGGCCATTTTGGACTGGGAAAGTTCCAGCAGGACTCAAGGCTGACAAGGAAAAAACAGTCTGCATGAATAAAATCAACAATTGTTGCTTATCTGAATCTGACTCCCCGGTTGGGCCTCGGATACGAGCCGACTATCAAATTTCTCCTGGGACATGGGTAACTAAGGGCGAAGCTTTGTCTATCGCACCTCCCTCCCCTGCCCCCTCTGAGAACTTCTGTGCAGGTTTATCAGAACTGCCGGCTCAACAACAGCACCAGGACTGTGGCCTATCTGAAAGTGCTCATGGACAAATCTCACTGTCTTGACAATACATATGTAATTGTGTTCATAAATGTGCTTGATGGTAGAGTTTTTTTGATGTCTCAAATCGTGTCCTGGTCAAGATGCGAATAAATCTTTTTTTGTAATGCCACTATTCATCGTCATGGCTCATAACTTTTTCTATCTAAAAGTATTCTAATAAAGAATAAGGGGCCGTGCTATTATAGCAGCAGCAATATGCACTCTGCCCATCTTTGGGACGGTTGTATGAACATAATTTCACTTTATCCCAGTATAATGATAATAAATCTTATTCTGATTCTAGACATTATAAAAGAATGAACCATTTTTTCTACGTAATTTTTAGATAAGATGTTTCTAATTTTAGCAATACGCTGGTGAAGATTCTCAGTCATCTAGGACATGATAAATTCAAAAAATGTTCAATACAAAAACAACGGGACTTTATTTGTAAATAAATAAAGTCAAATAAACAATAAACAAATAAAGAACATATAAAAATTAAAATAATTGTTAAACAATTAACAAATAAAGTCCAGCATTGAATGTTTATTTTAATTATTTTAATTTTAGCAATATTTCGCAGGTATCAAGTCTCTGTAGTAAAATATTGTGATCAACTGTATCAAATGAAGCACTGAGGTCTAACAGGACCAGTATAATAATAATAATAATAATAATAATAATAATAATAATAATAATAAT